TAGACCTCTACTATACCACTAGCACAGGCCTCAGCAGAATAAAATTCTGTAATTGTTCTGCCTCCATAAGAATTGGACCAACTGCCCAAAGGTAGATACAGTCCCAGCTTAAGCAGTTAATTGGACTGGGCAACATGGCGTGCCAGCTGCAATACTGCTGCCTTACAGTTATTGCAAAACCTACCCAGAACCTTACCAGATTTCACATAAAACATGTAAGAGTTTAGATGGAAGACTTCTCTAAGTCACTGAAATGGACTTGTACAACTGAACTTACACAAGACAGCTGAGGTCTGCCAAGTCATCGATGAAGTCAAACAACTGGCTGATATCATATGTAATGGATGGACTGTTGGGATTCATTCTCTTCAGATGCTCTTCATACATTTTACAGACTCCTACAGAGAAACAAGATTAACAACACGATATTAAAAAAACAACTGTATTTGCTGAAACTCCTTCGGCTATTGAACCACAGATATCAGTAAAGTTTAGAGATGACTACCATGAAAACAAGAGACTTAAACTTCTCACTCAGATTTTGCAGAGTTGAAATGCTTTTGTTCTAGATATGTGCATTGAAACATAATACTATAAAATCGGGTAAGATGCAAGAAAAGAAGCATTATCATCATCTAGAGGAAGAAGTTTTAGTTCTGTCAAAGATGTAACTTTCCATGCAATAAACTCCAACGGAAACCTGAAATCCCAATAATTTTAAAACAGCAATTGTAACATATATTCCTACTCTACAAACACCTGAGAAAGAGAACTAATGTCAAAGCTACTCAAATCTAGTAAGAAAGATCATTTCTGATGAAAGAGTCAGCTACTGAGGTAAGAGTTGACAGCACAAGCCTGCATGACGAATTTAAATCAGTTTTATTTAAGCTAGCCCATAAATAATTCAGCTACATTTCTGAAGAATATAATATTAAAGTCAGCACAGAGGCTTTACATGGTCTTTAATATGCTTTTGTTTGCCTTGCAAAATTTCCTGAAATTAGAATTTTTAATATTAAGTGAGCTTCCACATTTAAATCATACAGCTGTGGTATTTCAATCTTCTTTCCAAGCTCACTATGTGCTTCTTAAAGTCATGCAGGAATTCTTCTCTGGCACACATACCATGAGGCTGCCAATTAAGTATCAGTTGCACACATACTTTTATGTATTATTTCCACTAGCAACCTTTCCTTTACATGGCTTACACAAAAAATAGCGAGAGTTAGGCAATATTGCCTACTCTCACGAATGGAATGTTGTTCAATCTAGTTAAATCAAAAAGAGACATTTAATATAAAAAGAAGTTTTAAAAACAAGGAGTAACTATTTTAGTTTGCTAAAACATTAGTAAACTAAAAGCATGAGAAACTTTTGCATTTTTTTGTGAATTACCTTGGCAAAACATGAAGAACAACTTATTTTCTTACTGGGTAAGTTTGGGAATATGTCAAAAATGGGGTTTTGGTAAGTTTTTGACTACCACGTCTGCACCCACCTTCCATGCACTCATTCACCGATTCATAATCAGCGTATGTTCTGCCTTCTGGCCTCTTGGTCGGCTGGACAAGTAGAATTGTGTGAGACTGAAAAACAAAATAAATACCAAGAAAACAGGTTACCTCCAAAATCTGAATGTTTTGTTTGAATAATTTAGCTGAATAAAGCACTAAAAAGAAGCATAATATTAAACCAATGAACTAGCAATCAAGGATACATTTTCCAAATAGTATTTATTGTTCATATAAGCTGTGTTAATGTTTTTTTATTTTCAATCAGTCCTATCAATCCTTATGCAACTTTAAAATGTGTAAAGTCATGAGTAAAGCAGCTACCGTGTTGAAAAAAAAACCAAACACGGAAATAGTTTCTTTTTAAAGACAATAGCAAAGCAATAGAGTCAATGTATGAGAGCTATGCCATTAGTGCATTTACTTATTTTATTCCAAGTCAAAGCTGTTAGTAAGATTTTAAATCCCCCAGTTAAAGAGCAAGGAGGGAGTCCAATTTAACTTTATTGTCAGTCTCACTGTAAAGATTGTTAACAGAAATAGATATTTTGAGTTACTCACTTAACTTCAAAGGAACACAAATTATACAACAAATCCACACTTAGTATTCAAGATTATTTCCTCCAAAACAGATGCACTGATTTTTCATACATCAGTGAGTCTACTGAAACACTAATTATGGCAGAGATAACTGTTCCAAATGTCAGAGCCCGTAAGCTTGTTCTTCTGCAGGGGGGACTTAGATGATTGTATGGTCTGTGGCTTGCATTATTTCTGCAATATTTTTCACTTGGCTACAGCAAGTAATTTGAACAAACAAGCAAGATTTTTGAAGTGTACACAATTTGTGATCTAATTAACAGGTTAAGCAGCACAGGAAGTTTGCAAGCACGCTACAAAACACCATTTCCAGTGCTGCTAATTGGATCCAACATTTTCAATGCTAATATATGAGGTGAGCACACAACATGTAATATTCATGAAGGCAACTGCAGAGTAAGACACACTGGAAACAAATACCAAAGCGTATTACTGGGGTTAAATTAACCAGCTGCTGATAGAAAAATCCTGACCCACACTTTGGACATATGAGTGAAGATATCAGTTCAGTGTTCATCAAATGCAGTGACAGAAAAGAAAAATGGCAAATATTAGGATTTATAAGGAACACGTAAGAAAACAGGACAATTTTTTATACCGTAACTGATAGCGTTCCCATGCCTGGAATACATTTTTGTCTCAAATAACATGGTAGGAGATTCAGAGAAGCCCAGGAAAAGGTTACACAGAGAGACAGAAGCAGCAAGGCTTTTCCCAATCAGAAATGGAAAAGAAGGGAATTCAGTGCTACACACTGTAACAAAAATCATACAAAGAAGACTAGACCATTTAAGTCCACTTCCGTGTATGCCAGAGGACACTATATTTGAAAGCAAATTCCCCAAGTGGGGCTGGTATCGGGCTACTCCTACGTGCACTGTACTTACACAGGCGTGTCTTACCAGGGAGTCTGAACGACTGCCAAACTTTATTATAAAATACTTTTTCCAGCACTATCATTTTTATTTGCTGGTCACTGATGACAAGGCTTGGTTCCAGGACTTGCAACTCTGACTTCCTGGGAGCATTTGACTAGGGATCTCTTAATAACAACAATGGACGACATGTATCAGCCAGTTCAGCCAGCTTGTTCTAAAAAAGGCTGTGTTATTTCAGCTTCAGAATGTCTTGCAAACTCTTATTTCTGGTGTCTGATTACACATGCATATTTATCTCTTTCAACTAAATTCAGTATTAAAAAAAAAAGATGTGTTTGACAAAACCTAAGAGAGCATAGATAAAACTGAAGAGACCAGGAGTTACAGAACTGTATCATAATTGAGTGAATTCTGTATTTGGTCTCTCAGTATCTTGCTGGGGAATCATGTTAGGCTTTCTGGCTATTCCTCCCATTCTTTGCATGTTAAATGAATGTATATATTCTGAAATTATCCCAATAATCAGATCATAGGGGGAAAAAAAAAAAATCAGTGAGCCAGACATGTAAGACAGTTCTTTCACAACTTTACAGTAGAAATTCTTTGGGCTTCTGACTTTAAACCATTTATCACTTCAGATACTTCACAATATCCATATCAGATACTGATCTGACACTGGGACCATCCATATTGTAGAACTAACGTACTACATTTCAAAGACTTCGGGATTCTTTCCATTACTTTACCTTAAAGGAAAAAAGAAATAAAATTGCTCCTCCTCTCCTACCATGTAAGTACAAAAATCTGACAAGTTCAGAACCAGAAGTTTCCTCCATTACCTGCCCTACTGAGTATGTACCTTGGCAAGAGGGCAAAAATCAGTGTGATTAATAACTATTATGCTTTTCTATAGTTATAAATCCTGCTGTTAGGAAAAAGAAAACCAACACAAGGGAAGACCCATAAACCTTCATGCATTAGGACCAGGTCATCTGGAAGAGCCAACATGGACTCAATATTCTGATGTGCATGTTGGGTTTTCTTGCATTTTTTTAAAAGCACAGTTGTACTGCCTGCTGTTAAGCAGGACACTGAAAGAGATACCACATAGTTTGTATTACACCAATTCTTAATTTCTAGAGAGCACTTTCAAAAGCCCTCCACTCACTGAAGACACAATCCCATAAAAATGGTTGAGGCAGTGCCGACCGACAGCCAAACCAGCAGGACTTAAGAGCCAGGTTGCATCTGCCCAAAGAGGCTTCCACCAATTGTCTATTCAGCAACAAAATGGAAAAAAAAAAGATAAACAAGTATTGTAAGAATGTGTGGTGATGCAAATACAAGTAGTACACTGCACACACCTAAGTACCTTTCAGTTACTTCTGCTTGGCAGAAAAAGTGGTTTAAGTGTCACCTTTCATTCTGGAGAACAGGGACAGGGCTTGTAGCTGCTCATCCTCGCAGAGGCTAACTGGTTTTGAGCAAGTGCCAGACATATGTAGAACTTTGCTGCAAAGCCAGAAGCAGTTGTCCTTACACCGCAGGACAACAAGTTGCTTCAGCATATTCACATTTATTAGGTAAACGCAACAAGTTACTGTGACTGGTAGGCCTTTGTCCTTAGCGTGCCGTTGGAACAGCCTACCAGAGCAAGCAGCCCCCTTTCCCTCCTCCAAGCCCTGGGGAGGAGCAGGGAAAGCAGCATAGGCAGAAACAGCTTCGATTAACTCGCATCAGCCGTTTACGGTCGGCACATTCGACGGATCCGCGAAGACAGCGCTCGCAAGGAAGAGCGGCGCTTCCACAGGCGCCCGGGCAAGCCCGCTCCACGACACGGCCGGAAACCTCCCCCCACCTCCCTCTTCGAGCGCAACCGGCCTTTGTGCCGGGGAGGCTCCGGCGGGGCGGCCTTTCAAGAGGCCGCTGCCCCGCCAGCACGTGCTGCCGCC